ATATTTGCTATACGGGGACGTGCCGCTGGCCAGGGTATGGTTTTTGGCCTTGCTGTCTTAAACAGGGTATACATTTCACCAGAAATTGTCTTAAACAGGCTGTACAATTTAGATAAAAGACCGATATAATTTTTGTGTTTCTTGGAAAGGATAATATTTTCATAAGAAATACCGTAGAAATAGTAGAAATACCGTTTAACTGTAACCCCCGGGAACGTATTGTAGAGCCTCATACCTTGCTATTTCTAGTTAGAAGTAGAAGTTGTATATCCCTCTTCCCGAACCCTCGATCAAAGCCTCGAACATCATTCAAAACAATAACCCCTTTTTTGTGAAATATTTGCAATAATCGCCACGTTAATGAAGCACTGCATTGTGTATATCTTGAAGTTCTTGAGTGCGCCATTATGGAAACCGTTATCGATTAAGCATCAAAAGTGGAAAATAATTATTTTATTGACGTGTCAAAAATATATTTAACAATTAGACCTCGAGGTCGAGTGGACTACGAGCTAATATCCCATGAGGCCGAGTCCGCGAGGCCGAATCGGCTATTAGCTCGTAGTCCACGAGGCCGAGAGGTCTAATTGTTTTAGTATAAACATACTAATTGTTCAAATAATGAAAACAAATTGAAATATCCTTAAAATAATTTATTAATGAGATGCCGCCATTTTGATTTTCCCGCGAGTGGTCTATCACAAATTAGACCATTAGTAGAGTGGCCAATCACAGCGCAGTATGAGTGATAGACCGTTAGTATGTTTATACTAAAATTAGTTAGCTCCGCCCCAAATGGTTCGGAATTTCTGGCAATACAGCAAAATCAAATATGTTTAAAATTAAATTAAAAGGTATTGTATTAAGGTATTAAAGAATCCAAATTGAATGCTCAAAGCAATTCCTTAAATGATATTAAAGTTGAGAAATAATATAAATCAAAATTGTGGTGCAGCTTATATTAATTCTGGTTGAAGATAGCCGAACAACCACTCTCTTGTACCTGCTAGAACTCAGTAACATGAAAGCTCCATTGCATTTGAGGAAAGCGATTAATCTGAAGGTCCCGTCGCGCATCTACGTTATTGACTAGCACTATTAAAAATATGTGAACTCAAAAAATGTCACCTCAACTCACTTCATCTCAAATAAATAAGCTATGGAACAACAAAAACATGCGTGGATACTGATATAATAGGAGTATTTAATTATTGAGAAGAGTCCCCGCCACCTGGAAAGACGGCCGGGCGGGGATGAAGTTCGTCTGATGATGGAAGTGGCTCTGTTGACCTCTTATCGTGCAATTTGTACTCGGGATACGGAAGTGATGCAGGGTATTGACCGCATGTGTGATACCGTGAGAAGTCGCTTTAAGTTGGACAATTAATTTCGAAAAGTTCATTAGAAATGCAATGAAAATAGAAATATACGCGTTTTCACCCTGATCTGGTCGAGAAAATCCCTTGTTGCAGTTCACCAAGGATTACAAAAACATGAAAGAGCAATACTCACCAATACTGAACACCTGGACTTCGCATAGCAGTAAAGGCGACGTCCAGTTCAAAGAAGCTACTAATAATTCTATTATCAATTTCAATGGAATGCACTTGAAAATAACATTCGCATTGCTTCCTCCTTCTTTAGGAAGAACGCAACCTTCAGTCCTGTTGTTGACATCTTTGCCCGTTACTTGGTACTGTCGCCGGATTTTACAGCAATCTTTGCTTATGATGTGAACTTCATGAATGAACAAGGCATCTTTCAACATTATTCGCAGATATGGACGGTTAGTCTGCATATAATAAAATTGATTCAGAATTGTATATGCTAAGTTTCTCAGTCCATAAAAGAGCTATACAAAACTCACTAAAACTCACCTCACTACTAATAAAACAGGTTTCTAGCATTCCATCAACGGCAAGTTTTGGCCCGAAGCCAACTTCAGAATTTGAAGAAATCACTGTTGTGTTGAATGCTCTGTTTACTGGAAGAATACAGCACAAAAGTCAAAACAATGATTTTGATTAAAAAATAAATTCAAAATATAGGACAACGAGCTTACATTTGTTCTTTTTACAAATTCCTAAATACGACAAGCGATGATCCACAATGTCATTGTATCCTGCCATTCGAAGTGAATATCTCTGTGTATGATTACTTTCGCCGGCATGAGTACTTACTGGTCTTGACCATTCTTTTTTAAGACCAATGAAATAATGTTCAAAGTTTCCTTTATGAACATATGAAGCAATGCCTTTATGGACGTACTTTGTATCAATTATGGCCAGCCTGGATTGGAGTATCCTGCACTTCTGATAAGCAGCATTGCGATTGACTTGGGAATCACTAAAATAGAAACATCTTCCACGGACGGGAACGAATCCATCATTACATTTTGGTTTCCCTACGAATTAATTAGTATTAATTAGTATTTTTTACGGCATCAACGATTAAGTAAACAAGTGTGTACGTAGATCGTTTGCAGAAGTACATAATCAGAAGTGTCCATCTCCCCAATAATATCGACACCATCAGATGTCCCGATAAACTATTTTATACAACTTTTCAGTAAAATCAGACGTTTAGATTGGTTGGCTTTCGTGTGTTATCAAAGTATAGATACACGGATTACGTCAAAACTAATTGTTTGTTGTATAAAACAGATAGATCTCATTTTTCCGTGCGTGTGTACTCTAATAGATACACAGATGACGTCAAAATGTAGTGAGAACAACAGTCACGCACTCGACTGCGTCTCGTGCGTACCTTTTTGTTCTCACTACATTTTGACGTCATCTGTGTATCTATTAGAGTACACACGCACGGAAAAATGAGATCTATTTGTTAATCAGACAACCAATCACAACGCGCGCACATACTACACGGCACCTGATTGGTCCTTGTTGATCTACTTCAAGAGCGGACAAGAAAGGAAAATTATGTATTCGATGGAGGCGAACGAATCAGTGAAGTTCGCATTTACGAAAGTATGTATTTTTGTCGTTTGCTCTTATCATTGGCATGCATCCTCGGAAAAATGTTCTCTATCTTTTTTTCGAGGAAAATAACTTTTTTTCTTCTGGAAAGTACTAAAATTAAAACATCGACTACTTTTTCAAAAGATGAATTAAAACTTACCCATCTGCGATGAAAGATTCCGAATTATTTCTGAGTCATTCAAAGAGACATCATAAAACTGAACACGCGAAATTCCACCTTTGAAAGAGGACGCAATTTCAACAGAACTGTTAGTAGCCAATAGCTTTCGGTTACCAACTCTCCTTGACATAATATTATCTCCAATAAATAGCTTAGCGTGCCCCGTCAGAAAATCATAAGAAATTCCAATAAAGTTCCAGGTTGCATTTTTCAAGCCCGAAAGCTTCAACTGTTGTTGTTTGTATTCTTTCTCCTCTTCAAATACTAGTTGTCCAACAAGGGTTTTTTGGTCAAGCATTTTTATGCCAGTACCATTCCCGTAGGTGACAATAAAGCCTGAATTACCCTGGGGAAAGATCCACGCCGTAATAGTGATAGATTTCATAAGATCAAGGTTGCCGTTATGATTAATAGCAATATAGCTGTCTTCTAATCCAGGGAAGTAATAAGATTCATTCAGCCAATCTGGTTGGACCATGTTATAAGCTTCTCCTTTAAGAAGTGGATCAAGACTAATCTCGTTTGCTCCACTTGAAGCATTCAAAGGATACAAAGCCACTGGGTTTGGAAAATCTGTGTAGGAAATGAGAAAACAATTTCATGTCTGGTGCCAAATGGAAAAAAATGGAACAAAATGGAACAAAATTAAAGAAAATCAAATTTGCATTCACGAAGCGTAGTTCACATTGTTCTATTTTATTGAAATAAGTTTTTAGTTTGCTAAAGGCTTTTTCCAACTAGGTTCGTTTGATTGCAAGAACAGCTATCAAACACACTATGGTTCTCAAGTTGGAAAGATGACTTTGGCAAGATTGGAAGACAAGGAACGATGACAAAGACAATAATTGACAATAGTTTGTCCAGGAAATGAAATTGAGAGAAGACAGTTTTGCAACACCATCCCGTATATTCATCTGATATTATCTAGACGGCTTTTATGTGTTAAGAGATATGCAGACTCTTTGGATATAGCCAGTAAGGGGCTAGAGTTTTCTCTAGAAGAGGGGACATGGCATACCAATAGTAACATCAATGACTTTTAAACGGTTATAATAACGAGTCGTACGACGAGATATGGCAAAGAACGTGTGTACAAGTGAGTTATATCAAATCAGAATATACTAACCTAACAATTGTTCACAGATAAATGAGAGGTTAGCAGAGCAGTCAACAGCAATCAAATCTACACTTTTTCGTGAAAAAGCTCCACAGAGATTCCGGTTATTTTCTTTTAATTTTCTTTCAGAGGATGGACTAGGCAAAGTACCATCGATCCATTGCCACTTCATGTTACCTCCAACACCTATAAATATTTCCATATCGGGTATTTGTAGCGCTTTTGAAAGGGATGACAGAACCTGCTCCTCCTCTACGGTAACAGAATTAACTGGAAGACTGTTTAATTCTGCACATTTCCTGTTATACTCCAACGCTGATAGTTTTATCCATTTTAGATTACTTGTGATGAAGATGAAGCATGAATTCCCAATTTGATACCAAGCGCTACCACATGAGGAGGACTCTGTCGAAGACGTAACATTATGAAATGGAAATATGAATTAGTATTGTTTTTATGACATGATCAACAAATGAACAATATCCTGTTGACTCTGCTGTGGATTGTATTCAATGACGAAATATATAGGAAGGAAGCTAGCTGAAGCTTTCCCAGTTTGAGCTCCATTTTCTATTAAAATTAGGCGCAGTCTATAATTTCTTAAGCATAAGTAAAAAGTTGAAATGTTTTAAAAAGTGTACGGATGCGGTCTTTCCCTAGTGCTCAAGTTATGGGTTTATCAATCACTGATTTTTACAAACCAYTAAAGTTTGGTTGCTTGACACTTTTTACAGCGATGGATCTCCTCAGTTCATGACAACATCCTTTGATGGAATTGTTCGTTAATATATAGTCAACATTTCTCGATCCARACTGATGTACATAAACCTTGTGGACGTTCGAGCTTTCATTTTGAAAAAAGCAGTCCAATGGCATATCGTTTTTCGAAATGGTATCTGTTCGGGATACGATCTCATAACTGCTAGATTCAGTGTGATAGACACAATGAAGACCAACCGAAAAGTCGTTTGGCGTGGTCTGTAGTTGGATTTCTAGTATCTTTGAATAACCGTTCACAGCCAGAGGATGTCGCTCTATAAAGTACTTCTGTATTTGACCAACGACTCTCATCGTTAGGTAATAAGTAATCCGTTCTATGCATAAAAAAAATTATATGTCATTAATGAGGAGAGGATGCATTCACTAGCATCTCACCTTAAATCATCAACCCTCAGCTAACGGCTCTATTAGGTATTAAATATGTTGTTGTAATTTTTCAAAATCAAACATATCATACCTTGTAGTCTGCAGAATGAAGGTGAAAATGTAATGTTGTCTATTGTGCCATTGGTGTTCATACCAAGCATCTCGATGATGAACTATGCGACAAATTCAAAGCGGTTTATATCTTATGCTATTTGTGACTTTCCTCGATTACATTTATAGTACAGTGGAAGCCCGCCTTACGGCCACCCGCATAACGGCCACTCCGTTATAACGGTTGATTTTATGTTGCGGTGAATTAAGCCCTCATAATTTCCTAACTGCTTAAAACGGCCACCCCCCGTTGATAAGATCCGACCCTCAGTCCGTCCGGTGGGAGGATCCACCAGGCAGGGTGAAGAGTGTTCGTCCCCCTTGCTCAGATATCTTTTCATGGTGTTCCCCAGCGTGTGTGCCCTGAATCCTCGATCTACTCCTAAATAGCTATACCTTAAAAGGAGTGGTGCTGTTGTAGTAGATCTCTCCATAATGCCATTCACTTCCTCTGTTGTCCGATTTGAGCCATAGAGGCCTGGATTTTATATCATTTACATAAACGGTAATAGCTTTTGGAGACAATCCATACATCTTGAAAAATAATTGCATGCATTGCTGCCCAACCATCCAAGGGCTTACAAGCAGTGCGTTTGTCCTGTAACTTTTAAGAGAATTGTCTATTCTCCCCATCTTATCTGGAAGAAGTGAGATCAGTATGTTTGATTAAGTTCGAATAAGTTCATACAGTTTTAATTACATAATTACTTATTGTTCTTTCAGGCTAAGGATGATGCTTTTGAAAACAGATGATACATTGAATGAAAATACATAATTACATTGTGTACCTTGAGGATTAATGAATAAGACCCATAAGCAAGGAGGGTTTTCTCGAAAATTGCAGTTGCCTAGCAAAAGACCAAAAGTCAAACAAAATAATAGTCAATAATAATAATACCACTGTTCGAAAGTTATCCATCTTGGTAATAGAATGACCAGTCTACTACCTTGGTGAAGTTTTTTTGCAACTGTACAAAGACCGGGTTTCAAAGAAATGTCAAATACAAGGATGTCTTCTATGTTATGGCCTGATGGCGTCCCAATAAGCAAAACCTTTATACGCAAATAAAAGATGATCAATGATCTACAAGTCACTGATGAAGAAACTTCGTATATATATACAATATATCTTTTAGTGAACCAATTAGTCCTACCCTTAAATGATGTCTAACAAATAATAAACAATAAGGCAATTTTGAAAAAATAAGCTTATTATACCTGATAAGATAGCATATATGGCAGAGTTATTTCTACTTTTTTTGTTGTATTTCCAGTACCATTAGATGTCCATATAGTATAGTTGAGAAAAGGATCCCGTATTCTGAACAAAGCAACCTCCAAAACGCTGTACTTGCTCTTTACGTTGTAGGTGAGGCTCATGCAAAAAGGTGCAAGCAATCGTGGGCTTATTAGATATGCTTTGGTTTTTCCTTCGGAGCTGTAATTTCCAGCAGATGCGTAGATATATGACAAAGTAGTTTCTAAAACAAACATAATTGAAAAGTGTAACAGCTAAATTTGCAAAACTGTTTAACTGATTTCACTCTGGTCTCTCACAGACAAGCCACACAAGGTGTGCTCAAAGCTTCGCTAGATTCGGAGTTTGGAATCGACTCGATCTTTTCGGGATATCTACAGAAGATCGCACTCAGGCACAACAAATGCAACAAAGGAATCAAGTGGTTCAAGGATTAATCAAGAACTTCATTTCCATGGGCTCAATGAGCTGCGCCGGAGTTCTTCAGTCATCTCACTCACAGTTTGCTTGAGATGACTGTCAGTGTGCTTATGCTCCACACATCGGGCTGATCAGTGATGATGGCAGGCACAATGATTAGAACCTGGACAAACATGACATGAAATCTACTGTACCGATGAGTGATTCCAAGATCCAAGATCAATGTCATCATCTCCCTCAGATCCGACAACAAGCATCCGTTTCCAGCCGGTAGTTTGCTAATAACGCTCCAGCTACGTTTGACGTTTGCAAACTACTGGAATGGATGGATGCTTCAGAGGGCTAGGGCTACAAAGCCGAAGCACGAAGCACTTCCTTTTTCAAGCCAAATTTTCCGACCGTTTGTGTTAGTATGAATAAATCCAGTACAAGGAGCAATAATAAACAAATTACTTATCATCTCTAATTAAATTTACCTGTGCCATTTTTGCCTTCTCCATGCATCCAGAAAAGACCATCATGCATCATTTTATTTACGACATTTCGCCATCCGCACGTTGTTCCATTGAAACTACAATTTGCTGTAAAATTTTAATTTTTAAAAAAATTATAGCATATAGCCAAAGGGGCGCACAAAGGAGACGCATATACGGGAGAACGTGTACGTTCCCATGTATTTATCTCGTAAGAACCAGAAAGATTCACCGCAAGTAAAGTAATTCAGACCCAAGCTGGATGGATTCTGCAACCTGTGCCCTGGGTCTTTGATCTCAGTGGGCTGCTCTACATCACCTATATCTTAAAACTATGCTTTAATTAGGAATTCTCAGTCACTATCGCTATATCTAATAATACTAGTGTTTGCTTTGGATACCTATAGATGTTGAAATATCAGGCTCTAAACTTAATTGAGGTTCAAATCCTGTACCAAGGTCTTTGCAAGAGTTATGTACATTTAATGTCACCCAATGCAATCAGCTTGAGTTGTCGGTAGCACCAATAACATTAAACGTAATAGGCTCTAGAAGTTTTGTCTGGGATAAGGTACTTTTTTTGTCTAGGATAGGGTTTAGTCTCATTTTCTGGGGAAGGGTGGAGTTTTGCCTGAGATTGCATCTGCTAGGCCACGCTTTCAGGACTTATTTGTTTTGCTAGTATTTTCCCTTTCGTTWTGTCAAAATTTTGTTGYCATACAAAGCTGTAGCCTAATTTGTTTAAAATTTGTTTGACTTTCCCGCTCCAGCTACATGAATCTGGAGTGTTGTCAAAGGCACAGTCTTGTAACGTTAGGTATGATAACTTTATTTTATCAGAAGTAGCGAAATTAATCCAAAACTTTATCACTCTTAATCTGGCACTTACTCTTAAGGGAAATAGTCCCAGTTCTGATCTGCACGCGTTGTTTGATGCCCGTTTATTGACTCCTAGTAACATTTTGCAAAACTTTATATGCACAGCTTCTGCGGGGTCGTTTTTGATGTTATCTTTGATATCAGCACCCCACACCTCACTTCCATATAGTAGGATAGGTTTGATTAGAGAGTTAAATAATTTAATGGTTAGATATATGTCTGTCCTAAAGTGATCTCCGAGATCTCTTCTAAGCTTAAACAAAGCTTTTAACGCTATCTTCTTTAGTTCTTCTCGTGCATTGCTAAAGGTACCAAAAGCGCTAAAGTATAGTCCTAGATATTTATAGCTTTTCACATTTTCAAGTTTAGCATTTTTAAGATAAAATTCAAAATTACTCATTCTTTTGCCAGTGTTATTAAAGACCATGACTTTAGTTTTTTCCAGATTAGTGTATATTTTTGATACTTCGCAAAAGTATTGCAGTCTGTTTAATTGATGTTGGAGACCCGTTTTCGTTTGCGATATTAACACTAAATCATCAGCGTACAAAAGTCCTTTTATTCTATAATTATTTGCCACTGTTAGATAAGACGCATCATCAT